CATGATGATGATGATGATAATAATGATGTTAATAATGATGATGGTGATACAACAAACATCAAACCTTGGTTTAGCTGATACCATCCAGCAAGTTGTCCTAACACAGGATCAAGAAGAAAGATGTTTGAGTCCTGCCAGGTTAGCAAGAAGCGTTCTCTGTTGATTCAATAAAACATGCAAATAAACACAAAAATAGCAAAACAAATTGCTGTAAACTTTATCAAGCCCCAAGAAAAGGATGGGGATCTTATTGACCCTACTCCAGGGAAGTTTCATAAAGAAAGCAAATCGTAATTACAGCTGAATGGAGGAGTTAGATGCTTGAAATACTTGTATGGATTGAAGCATGGATGTGCAAAAATAAGCAAAAACAAGTATCTTGTCTTACCTGATCAACAACAGCTTAGCAAAGTTCAAGGACTTTGGCTTGTGTTCATCCTTTGAGTGAGTTGTCTCAGCATCGTGCCTAACCAATAATCAATAGAGTCAATACAGTTATAGCAAACTACTGGCATTAGTGTGTCCATTTTCTATACTTACCCATAGCCCAGCACTGGTGATGGTGGAACGGCTAGGAGCTGCTTGTAATGTTGTGTAGAAATAACCTGGCCATCAATACTTGCCTTAAAAAAGGAAATAAATGAATGGTTGGATGAAGGAATGGATGGATGGATGAATTGTATATGGATGAGATGGTTAGATGAGATGGGTGGATGGATAGGTGGGTGGATGGATGGATGGATGGATGGATGAATGGACAGACAGATAGATGGACAAATCAGTAAGTTAGTGTCTATTGAGTCATAAAAGGAGTGTGTAAATCCATATATAAAAAAAATAAAAGGTAAGAGTTAGACATCAATCCAAACCTCCCATAATCTTGACCCTGGACGTGCTGTGTAGATTGTAGCACTTTCTTGGTTGAACTGCTTTAAGAAGCATGCACCAAAAGCTCCTTCCCTTTGAAGGAATAAAACCTCTTATGAAAAAATAATTATGATTGTATGTACCTTGCGCAACCATTCACTAATTTAATAACAAATACATAAAAATATTATTACCTTGGTTTGGAACCAACAAGCCAGCATTGGGACCTGGAAAAAAAATACTGATCAACAACAGCATCATCATCATCATCATCATCATCATCATCATTGTTATCATTGCCATTGTCACCATTATCATGTATCATCATCATTGCCATTGTCATCATTATCATGTATCATCATCATTATCATCATCCATATCATCATCATCATTATCATTATTGTTTGCTTACATTGCCAGATCTAGTACAGCAGTCTTCGTCATGGTAGATATAAGCAGCTTCTCTGCAACATAGTCCAACTGGTTTATGGTTGTCTCACTTTTCCCGACAATGGCACTTTTATGACCAATAAGACTTTTCTTAGGCTGACTGACACTTGAGCCAAACTGGTAGCAATTTTGAATGAAAACAAGCACATCAAAAATGTCCTTCAATCATCATTATTATCACCATCATCATTACTAACATCACCATCTATATCATCAATCATTAATCATTGTCATTACAGTCATGCATCATTATCATCATGTATCATCATCATCATGTACCATCATCATGTATCATCATCATGT